TACTTTTTATATTATTTACAATGCCTGTAATAATAAAAATAATATTTTTATATAATCACCGACAAGATACTATTAAAGACCGACATTCTTAGTTCGCGTCCTTGTGAATATTGAAGTGATTAAGAGTTAAAAACTGATAATATTGTATTTATTTTATGATGATTTATTAGTTTAATAGACATATTTATGCATTTAGAACTCGATAATACTCGATTTTTCTTTAAATTTGTGATTTCAGTGTTATCATCAAAGCCGATTTGATTATTAACAGAGATGATAACTGCAGAGAAAAAAATTGTAATTTTTTTACAATATATAGGATATTACAGCTTTACAAATTACATATTTATACATATTTATAAATACATGTTTATTTATGGAACATTTATGTAATAAAAAATCATAAATTTAATAATGTATAAGTCAAATATTTATGGTAATAATAGCAAATTTATATCAATTGTCGATAATGTCAGCGTTCTTCTATTATCTCCGGGCCCTTGGGACCCTTTTTACACCGCCAAAAATTTGCCCAGGGTTGACGGTCTTTAATAGTATCTTATCGGTGATATAATAATGTATATAACAACTTGGTAAACATTAGAACTTCTTTTCTTTCTCTTAGCAGTAAAATGTTTTTAACATAACCGTAAAACTATCTTATGATTGGCTGAATCTTGATTCCGTTTCTGCGTTTATCGCTTAATGGGACATAAGAGAAAGAAAATAAACGGAATCATAAGCTGCTGATTAATATCTACATTCATATTTATTGTAATCATTGAATCATTAATATTCTGCTACTGTGTCCATATTAATGAAGAAGACAAAAACAGTATGTAACCGATCGCATTATATGGACAATGACTGTAATATACTTCGACAGCATATAATATTGATGTTATGTGCAACTTTCGTTCATTCCGCAAATTGTAACAGTGAAATTATAGCGAAAATAGCGGAACGATTGTGATTCGTCGTGTTGATTCTGCGAGTTCCGTTCCATTGTCAGTTTCTACTCTATGGGACCCTGAACATAACTCTAAAGGTAATTAATTATCTCCAGATAAATACGCCACGATCATTTACGAACGTTTTTCCGATTCCGCATTATGAGACTGTGTCATAATAGTATTGCCATAGTATAAATACATACAGTATGGACACTGAGCGTCGGCATCTTTGACGTAGTGGGTCTCGGGTCACATGACTCGCCGTCATGTTGTGGGATGGAAAGACGTTTATAAATTTGAGTTTTTATAAAGTGACAGAATGATTTAAAAAAAAAAGACAATTTGGTCGTGTCATGAAATTGTTTATAGCGAGTATAGTTTTAAATCAGAATTATATAATAATATAATATTAACGAACTCATTATATAAAAATAATATTCACATTAATAATAATAATATTAAACAATAATAAGTTAATAAAAAATAATAATTGATTAAATATTATATAAGAATTTTAATTGAATAATTATGTATGAAAAAATAATATTATATATTGCATGAAAATTGTAATTAAATGTAAAGTTGTAATTTAATAATATACGTACACACATACATACACACACGTGCGCGCACGCACGTACATGCATACTTTATTACGAGAACTTTATTGTATAAATATAACAGTCTACACAATACAACGTCTCCAAAAGAATTTGATTTAATTTTTTAATTAAACTTAATTTTATTAATCCCTTGCCATACTTTTCTTTTACAAATTAAAAAAAAATTAAGCTTTGTACGAACGACGTACTATGGCTCTCACTCGCGATACTTATGTTTGGCCCGATTTCTTTACCACGAGTCTCATACAATATTATATAGGCGAAAGGATTAATTATATTTTATAGGAAGGAAATTTAGCTAACCTAATCTAGCTTGAAATTTCAACTTTCTGAAAGGAAACCATATTCTTGGTTGGAAATCGACGCATGCGCATTAAAAATTGGAGACCACTTAAAAAGTTCAGTGTCCATACTGTATGTACTTATACTGTAGTTTTGACTCCTGCACATTGGATGCGGAAATGCTTGCAGTAACCAATAAACATATTAGGAGCTGTAAACATAATGGGTACATCCAGAAGCACGACCGCTCACTGAGCGCTCAATGAGCTCTTGCATCTGATTGGCATATTCCATTAGATCTAAAAATATAGACCAAACAGATATAAGAGCTCGCTGAGCGCTCAGTGAGCGGTCGTGCTTCTGGATGCACCTCTGGATTAGTTACCGCATCACATTTTGCCGTGCGGCAAGCGTTTCCGCGTTTGTGTGCAGAAGCCATATCTCGTCGGTGATTATGATTTTTATCGACAGTATCAGAAAATGGATGTAGTTACATAGTTCCCAAACCGGAAATGGATGTACTGGCAGTAGTGTACGGGCGATTTCGACGGTAACAGAAAAAAGTCCGGCATGGCCTCTCTTAGGTTTCTCTCTGACAATGTTGTATACTGTATTTAGTTGACTGTAGTTTTGTGTGTCGATTTCTGTAATACGTGCGAATACGCGGCGTAGTTTTCTACTACTGTTTCTATTATAAGTATCTATTGTTTATTTATGCAATGATTGATGTGCAGAATGAAGATTATGAAGCTTCAAAGCTATAGTTAAACTAGATCTTGTTATTTTCGTTAAAACTAATCGAGGCAGAACGAAACGGAAATTTAAAAAAGTGAAAAAAGTGACAGCTGCTGCATCGAATCTTCAGAGCCAAGGAAAAAGGAAGATAGTAATTTATGAACAAGAGAGGAATCTTTCTCGTGATTTGAAAATTTCGACGAAATTGTAAGATATAACATTGATGAATAAGCGATTCCGAGTTCGAATTCTATCTATTTATTTTCTATATTTTTCTACTGTCACTTTTTGCTTATTTTGATATATATTTCTTTTGTGTGTATATATATATATATAT